TTAAGAGCAATTACCCAAGGTCCAAGCCCACACCACCAGGCCCAAGTGAGGCTCCATCCCAAAACCAATTGGTAATGGGTGGAGTAACCCACTTACGTTATATGGTGGATTTATTTTCTTCCCACAACCGATGTGGGACTTATTTGCCCCAACAAAATCCACCTTACACAGCTGTCAGATTTTTGTTCACGACCTTCATAGCCCTCATATTCGGGACAATGTTCTGGGATCTTGGCTCTAAATGGTAACTTGAATGAGAATAAGCTGAATTAGAAAGTTCAATCTCGTGTGTTCCTTTCGTTAAGTTGAATCCTAATTCTTTCGGGATGTCATATGATGCAGGAATACACAACAAGATCTGTTTAACGCTATGGGCTGTATGTATGCTGCTATCAACTTTTTGGGATTCCAATACGGGTCAACAGTACAACCTGTTGTGGCTGTTGAACGAACTGTCTTCTATAGAGAAAGAGCAGCTGGAATGTATTCAGCCTTACCATATGCATTTGCACAGGTATCAGTCTAAGGTTGATATGCGAATCATGTATTGATGGAAATTAGATTTTCTAATACAATTTCACTCCCGTTGCAGGTTCTAATCGAAGTTCCATACGTCTTCGTACAAACACTTGTATATGGTCTTATTGTCTATGCTATGATGGGACTGGATTGGACAGCTGAAAAATTCTTCTGGTTCTTATTTTTCTTCTTCTTCTCTTTAATGTACTTTGTCCTCTATGGCATGATGACTGTGGCTGTCACTCCTAATCACAACATTGCTGCCATTATCTCGTCTTTCTTCTACGCAATTTGGAATCTCTTTTCTGGATTTATCATCCCACGACCTGTAAGTATTAGCAACACAATTTTTCATTAGCACAATCAATTAATATAAGCAAATAATGAACACTAACAAATTTCATCTTTCCTTTTTACTAACAGAGGATCCCTATCTGGTGGAGATGGTATTACTGGGCCACTCCAGTCGCTTATACCTTGTACGGTTTAATAGTATCGCAGTTTGGAGAGATCCAGGATGTGATGGAAGACAGTGGAGATACAGTAGAACAATTCTTGAAAGATTACTTTGGGTTTGAATACAGTTTTATTGGAATCGCTGCTGGAATAATTCTTGCTTTCGACGCTTTTCGCCTTCATTTTTGCCTATTCTATCAAGGCATTCAACTTCCAAAGGAGATAAGATTGCCTTGATTCCGATAGAGCGCGTTAGTTTGTCTCAGTTCTTTTAAATAATAGGTTTTTCCTGTGTATTATGTGATTTACTTGTATAAATTTATCTTGTAACAATAAGTTTGTTTTCACAATAAATTAAATTAATATCATTTATTTTTCTATTTTCTGTAATAAATACGGATTATTATCTTTGCATAGGGAATCAATGAAATATAAGGAATTCCCTATCTCATTATGTAGTTACTTTGGGAATGTGTATCAGACCGATTTCTCTAACAACCATTCATATTCCTTCCCTAGCCATTTATATATCTTTTTGTTTTTATTTTCACGGGACCATGGCCAACGAAAATCTCTAGTCTCCATTGATATAGTTGGTGATAGCGGTGAACACGGTTCGATTTGAACGTTTTATAGCAAATTTTCAAATCAAACTATTTAAAGTGGTTCGAATTTTTTCAATCCAAATCAAATCACTTCACTCTTTAAACCAAACCAAATCAAACCACTTTTTTCGGTTCGGTTTGGTTCGGTTTAAAACCACGGTTTAACAAATTACAAAATAACATATATTGAACAAGTTAAATCATAATTATTAGTCTAAAAATCGCGTTAGACTTAAATATTAATATCATTACAAATATTATAAACTAATGTTCTAAAAATCTAATCATTACAATGCTATAAAGGGAAAGAAACAATTTAGTTTTAACTTATGTCTATTAGTCAATACTAATCGGGGGCAACATCTTCAGTTGTAACACATACTTCATTCTCTACAAAAAGATAAAAATATATTGATTTAGTTATAGTTAAATGGTATAAAACAACTAATTAAAAAAAATGAATAGAAAGATCACCTTTTACGGCCTTCTCTGAATCATCTAATGCTTCTACCTCATCCAAACATTAACAAATCATTATAGATTCCTTGTTACTATACAATTAATTCTTAGTGCAAATTACTGTCTCAACCATCTTTGCACTCAATGAACTCCTAAAAGAATCGAGAATCAGACCATTAGTAAAGAATGCAGACTCAAAAGTTATTGTGGATATTTGAATAGCTAACACATCTTTGACAATTCGGGAGACAATTTTATACTCATTTGCATTCAATTTTCACCAAATTAATATGGCGAAAGGCTTATTGGCCAAATTTTCACAACGATCATTTAAGTAATCTACCAAATCATCCTTTTAAGATGAGCTTCTCGCATAAGTCTAGATTTACAAATTGAGGGAATAAGTTTATAAATACCCAAAGAAGTTTGTGAAGGACTTGGGCTTCCAAGTTGAGTAGCATTATTAGATGGAGCTAATGGTGGAGTCATCATTTCCTTGTAGCATTCATATAACTTGTGAAGTACTTTTTCAACTTTCTTTAATCACGTGTTTGCAATTTGTACATCATAAAGAAGTTCAAACCCAACTTTAAGTAATTCCAACTTGCATCTAGAGTCAAGAACTGTTGCAATGAACATCTGAGTAAACATTTCAATATTTCCCCAATACTTCTTATATTTTCTTCTCATCGTAATTGCCATGGACAAATCAAACTATTTGGCTCTTTAGTTAATTCTTTCAATTCCCCATGAATTTCACATACTTTTCAAAAGAAAGTGTTGGACGTTACATATAAAGAGCCACTAATTTTCAAAATCTTATCATAGAAAGTTTTAAAAAATTCGACAAATACTATTGCTTTGTCTCAATCAGCATGTTTTGGTGGTCCGTCTATATTTTTGTCATTAGATCTTTTTTCATCGAAGTATTTTGTATAGTTTGCATCACTTTCTAAAATATCAAATGCCTTTTTAAACTTTATCTCAGTCTACAACATCACATAGATGGAATTCCATCTAGTTGACACGTCCAAACACAACAAACCTCGAGACTCAATATTTGAATCCCAACATTATGAATAGATGAAATAGCGTTGCTAATTTATTTTAAGCCATCACAAACTATAAGATTGAGAATGTGAACACAACACCTCATATGAAGCATTCCTCTCCCAAGCACTAGACCATTTTTCTTCTCTAGAAAACCACTCTTCAATTTCATCATTGCTACGTCATTGGATGATGCATTATCAACGGCCATGCTAAAAATCTTATTGATTCCCGAATCATGACGGCAAGATCAACTCCTTTCGTACCATATCACCCTAGCCGGACTTGGATGAAACTTATGATTCGCTTTTGAAGTCTCCAATCATCGTCAACCCAATGAACAATCAAAGACAAAACATTTTGTATCAATGTCAAGAATCAGTAGTCAAACAAACTCGGTGTTTACTCAATTCTTTCCTCAATTTCTTATTCTCATCAAGGAACAAATAATATATATCTCTAGCAACTATCATCTTTGAAGAAAATCAAAAGTTGGGAACAAAATACTCTGTGTAACACTGAAAACCATCACGTTCCATGTTGCGTTTTTTTATATGACAAATGTACGATATTGTAACAAGTAATATAGTGGACCTTTGAGTCCGGATTATCGTTCCCACGAGGACTATATTTTAGACCTTAATTAAAATTTTCCAACTCTTATTTGATGAAATCAAGTAAATAATTATGATAGTTGTAATTATTTTTTTCTAACTACTTTTGACTAATTGAAAATATAAAAAGATTGTAAACAATGGATGATTGAAGATTCAAATATGTAATGAATATTAGGGCATAACAATTCCATCGATTGATCACATTAATTCTTAATTCAAGATTCATAATCTAATGTAGTGTTCGATCGAATTCTTCTATTGTATTTAATTTACCCCTCTCGAGGTCTCATTGAGCCTATTTAACTAAGACCCTGTTTGATTCAAAAGATTTTCCATGGAAGCAAGAATTCATTTTCCATCGTCCAGGTTTTGGGTTGTTTGATTGTAAAATTTTTCCATGGAATCACTTTTCTTGGTTTCCTTCACACGCTGACATATTCCTTGAATTGGTGGGAATTG